TTTTCGTTCACTTTCTTGGGTCGGTGTATTCCCCGGGGAGGTTGGTATACCCTGTCCGCGTCCACAGAACAGCCGTCATTCCTCTCTGGCAAAAGACTCGCCTCTCCCTCCCCCGGTCCCTGCGCCGCTTCCTGGTGGCGTGGTCCTTGTGGAGAGCGCGAGCCTGCTTCAGGGGGCGCCGGGGGATGATGAGGTGGGAGGGGAAAGAGGATGTTGGGTTCGATGGGAGGAGGTGGGGAGGTAGGTGCCGTCAAGTCCACAGAGGGGGGAGGGAACGCCGGGGCGGGAAGAATGACACCGCTTGTTTTGCTGTGCACGTGCGGGGAGACGCTTGCTTTTGGTAGCATTCCAGTGTGCTGGTGCAGAGGTTGATGAGGGTGGAGGCGCTGCCCGGATGGACTGGATGGGGTGGGAGTACTTCGGTCGTACCCAAGGTCCGTCGCACCTTGTGGACGGCTGCTGTGGTTGCTACCCCGATTTTCTTTCTGGGCGACTCGGCCGTGCCTATTTTGTGTCGGTGTTGGCTTGCCAACATGCTTCTTTCCATCGTGGGGATGGCTGAGCGTGGCCTCCGTCGGATGAACAGCATTTCCAGGACGCGGGCCTCTCGACAACCTAGAAAGCTTCTCGGAGCGCGCCATCACTCCGTTTTGCTGCGATTTTAAAGACGTTGCACGCGGGTTGGTGGTATTTTTGTGCCCTTGTTCACGGTCTTCTCTCCACGATTCTTTTGTGTACTTTGCTCGTCTTTGCTTAGTTCTCTTGCCCCCTTTTGGTCCAGATTCGGTGCTTATCCCAGGGCTGCTGTCCCTCAGATCCATTTTCGGGCTAATATTCTCCCTTTTAGGACTTCGACTGATGTCATGGACGTTCTTGTGGACTGTGAAGCCTTCCATCCCTAAATAAGAGGGTGTTCGACGTGAGTGTTTTTTATGACCGAGGTCCTTTTTTTCATTAGGCATTGGAGAAGCAAATAATAGGATTCAAAACAACGGGGGTTTTATCATGCAGCCAGTACTTGAGGTCATCGCAGATGGTAATGGAAAGGCAAGAGCATTTCAAACCTTTGTGTCTATGCTTCGTATCAACCAGTATGGTAAAATACGGCCATGGCAGAAAAAGTCAAGGGGAAGGGGTCGCTGAACGGTCGCTTAAAGTCTTCGGAAGGCCTCCCATCCACCGAAACGTTGTGGTCAGCCCTCCCTCCCTCCCTCCCTCCCTCCCCTTGCCTCTATATACGGGCATGGCCACGTCTTCCCTCCGAAGGGCGTAATAGTGGCTGATGCCTCCCTTAGTCTGGCGTTGCAGAGAGCGGCGAGCGTCACAATGGTGGCTACTTCCCCCAGCACCATCATCCCAATGGAGCGCGCGTGTGAGCTCTCGGGCGAGGAATAGAAAGTAAGCCCTCGGGTACAACGTCATCCACGGCATGAAGGGCAGGGGAAAAAGTCGACATTACCGGCCAACTTGGTGCTTCTCATGCATGAACATTTCTGTGGTGCGGACCACCGCCGACGCCCCCAACAAGGACCCCGCGATCGCCAGACTGGCGGAGACAGAGCCAAAGTCTCTGAAGGAAATCTCCTCCAGACTACATAACCATCGCCGTGTCGATCTCGACCTTCTACGTCACGTGGGGCCCCACGTGCTCGGGAGAGTGAGGGTGTTTTGCCGTGATATATCGGGCGGAGCACACTCCCGCGGCGAAGCGGGGGTGGAGCCAGTCGAGCACCTGGGGCTCCACGTGGCGTCGCAGGTCCAGGTCGACGCAGCTGTGGTTGTGGAGTCTTGAAAAGACCGCCTTGACAGACTTCGGCCCTGTCTCCGTCAGTCTGGCGATCGCGGGGTCCTTGTAGGCGGCGGTGGTGGTCCGTACTATCGTCATGTCTATGGCGGAGGGGCACGACGTTG